ACTGAACCCTGGAAATACTGTTTTGACAGCTTGTTTGATAGGTTGCAAAGCCGTTATGCTCTTCCTAAAAGTTACACACATTAAAAAACAGTTCCCTCAATCACAAAAATGTGTGATAGTCTCCAGACTCTCAAAAACCTGTCCCACTTTTTAACTGATCTGGGAGTCCAAAGCCAGTCAATTGTCAGAGAATTCAGACCTCCCCTATCTTCTAGAAGGAAAATTTGGAAAACTTAATGCTATTTAAAGTGAATATTCATCTCAGCCACACTTCCCAGAAGTTCCACCAGTAGCTGAAATCTTATGTCAGAACAAAACAAAACAAAACAAACCCGAATTGCCTCATCTAAAAATCCAAGGGAAATCCATTCTCTCATCTAAAAGTATGTACTGTGTAAACAGCAGCATGTCCCCACACCTCTCTTCTACTGATCTGTATCTGCTTAGAGCCCTGGGGAATGCTGTTTTAAGTAGTTTAGTCTCTCCTTGATCTCTAATCAGCAGATGTTCTCCATCTGATGTGAGTGTGCACTAAAGGCAATGAGCACACTAGGTCACACTCCTGCTGTCCCAGAGCAGCACTGGGTAAGTTACCCAAATGTCCACACATACATACACTTGAATGGCACACAGAAACAACCAATAAAATTTCAAGAGATGTCCTTTATGTCTTTCTCTCTGCCATTAACAAACAGCAAATAAACTTAGATGCAAGAAAGCAGGCCCACACCTTTCTGAGGCACAGTGTCATTGTACAGAGAGATGGCTCCACAGACTGCAATCCTTCCGTATTTCTTCATCTGATTGATAGCAATACTGGAAAATTCTCCACCTACCTACAAGAACGAGAGCATGTACAGCATTAGACAATCCAGCATTTGGCACTGACTGCCAAAACCTGCTAACCTTGCATTATTTAACCAACAGCTTCCATCAAGGCTGGAGAGGTGAGTTCCACTACTTCAAAGACTTGGTGGCTGCAGAAACCCTTACACTTAGTCAAAATCTATGAGGATTTAATGTCACTCTTCTAAAAATGAGTTATGAACACAGGGCACTGGTTTTAATTCTGAATCTGCTTGAAAAAGCTTGGTTTAGAAGCAAGCACTGGGCAAGACTTGCCCTTAAATCCCTCCTCCTAAGGGGCATGTCTAGGGATACTAAGAAGCACCACCTCTGCTTTTCCCCCACACAAGTCTGCACTTTAACCTCTTCACATTATGGTGATGACAAGTTTTTACTTAATTATTCTCTTCTCCCAAATAGGACACGCTGCACTCAGAAGCTTTTAACAGAGAAAAGCTGTGACAAAATTTACTGCTGGGGAGAGCTCTGCACAAAAGTTGGAAGTGAGAGGGAAGGGAATGGATGTGACCATAAAACTCGTTTAAGACCTTAGCAGCCCAGGACATGAAGTAGGGAAGGGTAAGGAAAGACAACAAGGAGCTCCTGCCACAGGAGCAAGCGCTTTGCCCTGGCACCATGCATTCATTCACATCGATTGCCAGGGTAAGGCAGGTACATTGAAATCCACACAACAACGGCACCATCATTCACAGACAGAAAAACATGCTAAATGGGTGATGATGGCTGCCCTTTAAACCAGGAGGCTAGCCAGGGAGGTTTAAGCCAGTATCTCAGCTAATAACCCTGTGACAGGCATTATATTATCAGGTATAATACATTAGCTATGCTAGGAAATTAAAAAAGCCAGGGCTTCTTCACTGACTTGAAGGTGAACTGATGTGGTTTGACTGCATCCATACTGTTAAACTCACAGCCTCCAAAACACGGTGGTCACATTTAAATAACCAATTGAGAACAGTCCACAGACCCACTCCAGCTGTACCTGGGAGAGGTCAGAAACCCTCTACAGGTCACTTCAGCAATTTTACAAGTGTGCCTTGCAATTGTTTTGTTTACAGATACCCATGTAGCCAGCTGGATCACGTAATATGGTGCTCACTCCCCTTCTAGTAGTTCAGAGCAAGGCTAGAGCTCTCTTCTCCCTCACTGCCCCAAAATGTGCCATACTTTCCACAGAGTGAAAACTTCTCTCTTTCCATTTACAAACACTGCTAACAATTTAGCTTTGCCTTTTGGTCTTTGTTCTTTCTGTTACTGTCCAGGTCAGCTGCAGAAGTAAGTGTGGGAAGGGAACTGGAAATCAGTGAGCTCCGACAGAGACCATTTCTCCATGAGATGGAATTCAATATGGAGTCTCTGGTGTAGTCTTCAATTTGATGTATACAATATCGAGTTCCTGCTATAGCTTAAGGAAAATCACAGTCTGCTCAGGGCAAGACCCTCCCTCTGAACTCACGTTGTCAAAGAAACAGTCGTAGCCATCAGAAGAGGCTTTATGCAATGCTTCATCCAAAGATCTAACAGTCTTGTAATTAAAGGCTTCATCAAAGCCTATGTCTTTCAGATAGGCAACCTTGTCATCTGAGCCAGCACAGCCAACCACTTTGCAACCCTGTAAGGAAAGGAGAAAAACATTTCTAAACATCCCCTCACAACACAGGCTGACACTCACAGAGTGCTAGGTGCAAGGCTCATCCTTAAAGTTAGGCTGCTGTCACCATAAGAGTTCCTGAGCTCTAGCAAATATTCAGCTAGCTTTGTGACATCTACAGGAGCTTGTCCCATCTCAAGACCTTACTGTAGGCATGACTTCAGGGATGCTTGCCCTCCTGATCATTCATGGCCTTGTTCCCTGTCTCTCAGGTGAGCCTTCTGAGGAGTAAGTATGAGCAGTTCAAGCCACTCACCCCAATTTTAGCGAGCTGCCCACCACAGAGCTCACAGCGCCAGCTGCAGCATTAACCAACACTGTCTCTCCTGGCTTCACCTTGCAGACCTCCAGCAGACCAAAATGTGCAGTGAGGCTGTGAAGAAAAAGAAAGAATGCTCAGTAAGGAAAAAAAAGATGTCAGACATAGAGATGTGACTTGACCACATTGAACCAAAATACTGTCACAGACATAACATGATTTAGTTTTCCTCATTCTTTATGAAATACAAAAATAGGTGGAAAAATCCTGCACAGCAAAATCCAGGGCATAGTTGCCTCTGGATCTCAAAACTCACCCTGGCATACCAACTGTCCCAAGAGCCAGAGATTTGGGGATTGATTCCGGCCAACTGGAAGGGAGGAGTTGCAGGTCTTTCCCATCAGAGATGAAATGAGTTCTCCAGCCACTTCCAGCCACGACAAAGGCCCCCATTTTGAAAGCAGGATTATTGCTTTCTACAATCCTGTTTAAATAAAAAAAAATAATAAAAAATACTCTGTCAGAGACAAATCATTACTGACTCTTCCCTCCTTTATTCCTGTTGTTCTGGGATGAGGAAGAATTATCTCGCGTCAGGACATTTAGCCCATACCCGCTGATGCTGTAGGCTTCTGATGTCTTTCCTGAATTGTCTACAATCTCACATCACCTGGGGGATACTGGGCAAGATGATTCTAGACTCAGCCCTGCCCACAACAAATCCAATGTTCCCGCGTGCGTTATAGCTTTTTTTTTTTACTACTACTACTCTGGTATGTATTCAGACTAGGCTTCTGTGAGTTAGAAGGCAGGAAAGAAGATGCTGGGATTAAAGGCTGGAAAAGCAAGAAGTCACAGATCGACTGTAGCAATCAGTTCCCTTTTCAGACAACCTGTACCTCATTTAAATGTTGAAGATCCTGAAGATGGATCCTCTCACTCCTCTTGGAGTGACAAAACCAGATAGAAAGCAGTATCTACTAACAGGGAGAATTTCATACTTGTGGTGTCTCTATGCCAAATGAAAATTCCACTTTCTTAGCTCAATAGGAAAACTATGTTGCAAAGAGGTAGGTAAATAGCTTTGAAATATTGGAAACAGTTTCTTCCGTTCAGCAGACTTGGTTCTTAATTTACCCCAGCCCTCAGTGTTGCTTTAGAGAAGCTCAATAGCCAAAGGCCACAGGTGTTCCTGGGCAGCAACTTAGAGGCAGCACAGCAGGAGCAAGCTGACAAAGGGAAACATTTGTGTAGCTAAATTACCAGGCTTGGGAAATTATGGATTTAAGGTTAGATAACCCTTTAGCTACATCTAGAGCTGTATCTTAGGTGATGCTGAGGTATTCTTACCTGGAGTGGATAGCATGCATGGTTTTGGGCATGAAATCACAAGCACAACAGATTTTAAAATGTGAAGTTGACACTTATGGTAAATACAGTGGGCAGTCCTTTATGCCTCTGCTTGTAAAAATTTCCTTTGAAAACATTACCACCAGAAATAACATTAGACTGTATCAGAGGCCTAAATGCTCTCCAAGAAGGCAAAAGAGGTTCTTAGAGGAAAAACATGTTCCAAACAATGACAAATAAGAATACAGTTGCAGAAGTATGCAGACTCGCATAAAAATAGGTAATGCAGGCTGCAGATGTTTCGAATGTCAGTACATTCCTTCAAGATCTGCCATGTGCATGGATAACAAGAACAGAAGACCTTACTTGGCAACTTGTGTGCCTATCATTATGTCTCCTTCCTTCATGTCCCTTTGACTGTAGGGTCTGTAACACAGGCAGAGAGGTGGCTTACTGTAAGCAACTTTAATGATGCTCCAGACACGCTACAAAGCAGTAGCTACCGTCTGACCCAGAAAAAGAGCATAAGCAGTGATGCTGAACAGATCGCAAAGAGCTTTTCTTTGTAATGACACAACCGTATGTTTTCCACAGTGAGCTACTTGAGCATCCCAGCTTGACTGAATACTGGGCTAGAGTGTTGGGGAAATATTTCCAGCAATTCCCAGCATGGTTCACCACTACAAGAAGGCTGAGACTTCAAAGAACTATCTCTTGGCACTAGGGTCCACCAGACTTCTTCAAAGTACCCAGTCTCCTTGTGCTTGAACCTATTAACAAGGGCATATCAGCAATTTCCTACTTAGAATACGTACCATTAAGTACAAGGATGCTAAGATAAGTGAAGCAGCCGCTGCAACAGGGCTGCAGTCTCATTTGAGTCTGTTGCATTCCAGTGGAAGAGACATGACAAGGAACAACAGCAGAATCTGAGAAAAGTCTAGGGCTGCAGCATCATTATCCTAATGTCTGGCTGAATCTGGCACTGCTCAATTTGGGAGCTTTGTAATTTACACACATTTTATAAAAAGCAGAAAAAGGCATCTGGGAGTCTGGCAACAGCGGATGCGCTCAGTACATGCTCTTTTGATACTTAAGTGGGAGATCAAATGAGATATTTTAGCCAACAATTTAAAAAGAAGAAAAAGATATACCTCATGTAAGGATCAACACTGAGAAACACTGATTCAAGCAGTAATTCTGCAACAAAAGACAAAGCAAATTCCTGGGCATTAGCAAGGCAGTTAAGCACAGTTTCCACAAGTCAATTTTTCAACAAAAGCTATACAAACTCCTGACAGCTCAAAATCCCCATATCACATCATCCTTTAGGGAAAAAACTACCAGAAAGGACTACTACATTCATTAGCTTTGTCAGGATTATCACTCCGCTGTTACAAAAGACATTCTCTGTGGTAGTGCATCTTTAGGAGTCTAGTTTCTTTTCAACCCTGTTTTTCTTTATCTGCCTTCTCTCTATAGAAAGCTCAAGAGACTACACCCCCTAATCAAAATACTAACTTTCGAGTCAGATATAAAATGCGTTTCCATGATTCAAGCAACAGAGGTTGGTAAGAAACCTTGGCACAAGTCAAATACAGACACTACTTTGCTACCTTAAACAGAAAGCGCTAGTAACCTAATCCACCTTACTGTCTCTAATGCCACTAGTTCTCGTGAATTATACTGTTACTATACTGTTACACAAATTTCAATTTAAATTCTCATTCACACAGCATTTTCAGTTTTTCATCTTCAGCTAATAATTAATGCTTTTCATCATCTGTACTGCAGTGGTCTAGCTAATACAAGCTAGAAGTATATCAAGATATAAATATTTTCCCATTACTCAGAGTAAGCAGGAAGAACAGTCAAGACTATGTAACAGGAAGGAAGAAATTACTCAATTGTCTTGGATATCCACATGCATGAATTTTTTAAGTGTGTCCAAATGCTATAGAACTACACATGCTATGGAAACATTTGAAAGTACACATAAGAAGTCACCTTTCAAATCTTTAAGTAGTACTTTAATGCAATTTCTCTGGTGCATCTTCTAAACTGGAGTAAATTTTGTAAAGGACAAGTGGTGGAGTGGGGTTCAAGACAGCGTGGTGTGGATATCCATGTGAAGCCAAAAATCAAGGTTAATTCCCTTATCAACAGGTCTTACATAAAATAAGTTATCATATTCCCTACCCTTTTCAAAACAGAGAAACACAGCAATAAAACCCATGCTTTTTCTTTCTTGAGCAGTCACCCTCCTATGCTAAGGTGCATGGCTTGCCACAAGCTGTGCCCACCAATTTTCAAAAATCCAAGTCAGAGAAACATACAAACAATACTACAGATGCACAGCCATTGCACAGTCCTACAGATGTCAGCAATCAGACAACCTCTGGAAAAAAATAAAAACAAGTGGCACTCCACTTACCTCCATCCTTTAAGTCTGGTAGCTCTATTTTTTTCAGGTTGAAGTCACTGGTTTTGGGAAATCCCTCAAAATGCTTCTTTAGAACCCACACCTTGGCAGTCACCATCCTGTGCAACAAACAGCACGGTCAAAGTGACGTGCGGATACAAAGCAGACCCCA